AAATCCACCGGACCCGTCAAACCAACTCTCTCCTCTTTTGAGCTAAGATCAGCTGAGGAAAAAAGTGCATGAAAGTTGTTTGTCTAAAAAATAGAGAATTCTCGAAAAATCGTATCTTCTCCTTGTGTCCTATACTAAACTGAATAGCACCACTGCACAGAGAACCGTTGACAGCACCGTTTATTGCTCACTGAGCGCCTTGCACCACAGTTCAAAAACTGAACCTTACCCCACTTCGGGGAAGGCTCCTCAGGTAGGATAAGATATACTATCATTCGTGAGATCATTGATACTCTACTTTATCACGACTTCATTCTTATCCTTCGCATGAGCAACACGTTTTTCCATGTGCGCCATAGTTTTTCTTCATTTTGATACTCCATCAAAACTAAACATTTTACTAAACAAACAATGAACAGTAATGCAAAAAGATAACAGCAAAACATAATCGCGGTTATTCCGCGATATATACTATGTTGCTATGTTTTACGAGCAGACTCCAATCTTGCTAACTTGTGCTGAGCCTTGAAGTGAGTAGCTTTTCTCAGCGTCTGTCGAGTGGTGTATTCATTTGAGCGGATGAGGGCTTAGTGGTCATTTTCGAGGCTGGAATAAATCTGAGCTCGGACTGTCAATGAAGAATTCGACAGGATGTGGGCTACTCTTTTGTTGTTCTGAGCAGTCAAGGATCGTGGATGGAGCGGAGTGTGTGCTGAGTATAATTATCAGGGTGCCGGATAAATCTTCGAATGCATTAAGGAGAACGACCAAGTTATCGTGCGATTTCTAGATTGGAACGTTCATTATCATGCAGAACCTTGATCTGAGCTTGCTCATCTTCAGGAAGAAGTATGCCGCGAATTGACATGATGACGAAATGAAAACAGCAAAGTCGGATTGAAATCGGTGGAAATTTCGGCGCCAAAATCTGATCTTCTTCAAGTGTGCACATACTTTTGAAACAAAGAAAAAATTCAATCCAAAATTTTTTAAAGCAAGGCGATATTATCTGCTTTGCTTCACTGATAGTTATCGACTACGAGAAATCGATTGAGAAGGATTTCATAGCACGAAACCTCTTGTTACCTTTTTAACGTGAATTGTGAGGTGTCCACATACTTTTGAAACGCACTGTATGAACCCAACAATTACCCGATTTCTGATGTCGTCAAATGTGCTTGCAAGGTGAAACACATCATTTGTAGTGCAATATAACAATCCAAAGCATGAGTTTCGGATCCAATCGAAGGTGACACAAAATGTTTTGCATATAACTCAACAACCTTGTCGTGTTGCAGTGTTCATGCTGGTTGGTGTTTCAACCTTCGAAATGTTCTGATTTGCAGGTGTCGGATGGGCGATGTCCGTATTGGGTCTGTTAACCGGGATATACTATAATGTAGTTGTGGCATGGTGTCTTCGTTACATTTTCGATGTGATAACTTTGCAGTCATCAAAATGGACGTCGTGCGATAACTACTGGAACAGCAGGAGTTAGTTCCACGTTTCAATGTCGTATGCCACATTAAATAGCAATACCGCGACTAGCACCATCATTTTCGCTTGTGAGATTGACATTTTTCCTCGAGCAATGATGCAGCAACAGTTTCATGCCTTTTGAAGGCATGGCAGGTGGTTTATATTAGGTTGTCCGAGAAGTTTTTGCCCGTTTTAAACTCAAAGTAACATTTGATAGGCAGTAGGTCTGCGAATGATTGTAGCACAATTTCGTAGCTCGTATGTAGTTCAAATTGTGCACGGTCAAAAGAGCGACAGAGGATGTGCAACAATGGGTAGGCGAGTCGGCGAACCCAACTGTCAAATTCTGTTCGGTTTTTCCCTTCAACTGTTTACTTTGGAACACCTTGTCAGACCTCACTCGGAAATGACCTTCTCAGCAGTTCCACGCAAATTTGGTTTGATCGGCTTTAGCTCAATCTCTGTCAGTTTCCCATGAAACACCATCATTTCTTTTTCGGAGCTTCCTCATACTCCTAAATGTTTTCAATGAGCTTGATGACTTACTCTTCAGACTGTCAGAGTGCCACGGAATCGGTTGCCAACGCTGAAGATAATGCCCCGACCTTTGCAGCTCAAGAATTTTTCAGGTACAATTCTTTTTTGGGAAGTTCTTCTCACACGTTCGTCATTCGGCTCTCGCCTAAGAACTATAACTTTGACGCATTGGGAGCAACTTCGATACGAGATTCACATGCTGAACTTCATGCAAACATCGGTTCAAACTTAGGAAATGCTATGCGGAATCAACTAATAAAGCACTAAGGAGCATAGAAGCATGAAAATAGCATAAATAAGGTAGAAAAGTCCCCGACAATTTCTGACCCACTGTCCATATTAGAATCTTAGAATTCCGCCTATCGTGAACGTCAACCACGACTTCCTCGCTAATTTCCCGCAATGATAGCCTTCTGCTACGACTAGATAAATTTCCCGACTCAACATAGGCCAGCAGCACTGGCCGACATCCGTGATTCTTCGTCACTGGCATTTGCCCAACATTACGAATGACTCATTGATTACAAGTTGCCGCTCGATGCACAAGCTACGAGTAGGTACAACTCTCTGACACTGACCAAATTATTGCGCCAAGTCGAACGAAGAATACAACATATAACCATGTCCACAGTAGCCGGCCAGCTGTAGAGAGACATAACGAATTACAGTTGCCTGGCACTTATTTTCCATAATTACACTGGAAACATTCCTATATGCAGCCATTGTAGCCAAAGTGTGCATTTAAGCGACATTACATAAACGCATCGGTGGTTCAATGGTGACTGCCTAGCCACGCATCCCCCGACATGTCGAATCCTGGCCAATGAAGCCACGAATCATTAACCATAAAAACACAAGACCATCAGAAGCGTCAAACAACCGGGAGAATTTAAACTGAAGCAACGATAACTCTCGGATTCTTTATTTTCTTTTTCTTCTCTTCATAAATAAGCTGATGGCGATGGCCTGGAAAAATCGCACAGCAGAATAAGAACTCCGATACCAATCAACCTAAGCGCTCCTAATTAGATCATTCCACCTTGCGCAGAAAGGGGCGTGTAGAACGCAGTTCGCTACGCCAGCTCAGCAGTGCTCCTGCCACAAAATTGAACCGCGGCATGCAACCCGCTGCTGCAACTGTCTCGCCGCTCTGAACCAACACCACCGCAACCGGATCAGAGACGGCGGGCGAGAATGATTTGCGGACGATTGGCTTCTCACCCCTGTCGCGTTTTTTCAGCCGCAAAAGATGCAGCGTCATTAACCCTTTGCGCCTCTCTATTACGCTCCGATATGGTACAAGTGAGCATGCCTAAAACCGGAGCCTGCTTCTAATGCGATGTCCTCGGGGTCACAAGACGCTAGAAACTTATGAAGAAAGCTGATCCTCTTAGCTCCTACTTTTCATTTTAGACACCGCCTTCTCAAAATATCTACGGCCATGGAAGAGACCGGCACATTCAACTGGGAGATATTCGCCGCACTACTGATCGCCTGGATCATAACATGTCTCTCACTAATCAGAGGAGTTTCAGTTATCGGAAAGATATCATTTTTGACTGCCACACTGCCTTATGTAATAATCGGTAATGACTGTGAAGGTGGTATGCGCCGAAACTACTCGCTTATCGTCCGCCAAACTTCGCCACACTCAGTCCAGGACGTTTATGTAGCTTTCCTATCCTCGCCTGTCTCCCCCTCGTCTCTCCATGCGTACTTGAAGACAAAACTAGTGATAAAAAAAGAACTTCATGAAAGAGAGAGTCAAGCAGAAGATATGTGTTGTTTCGAGGCAGAAAGCTCCCTGTCAACAATGATATAAGGTGCAAAAAGTTTAGTGGAATCTAGACGTTGCATACCGGAATTGTTGCGCTATTTTCTGCTATTTCCCTCATCTTGAAATTGTACTATTTCATGCTTCACGTATGCATGTTTCCTCAGCCCATTTCGTGTACATTAGTGACAACACATGAAATAGCTGATGATAGTATGATTGCAAAAGAGAATACGTTGCAGCCGGCGCCGAAGCGCCAACAGTCGTACTTAAGTTGCCCGGACTCGCCATCATCAGTTGAGAATAGAATGTCCTCGAGTTTTGACTATTGTGCTTGTTTTTTTTCATACTCGCACCACTTGGCATTCTATATTCACATTTAGTCAGAGGTGTTAGATAGTGCACCAACACTTGAGCTGGGATAACTGATATCATTGCTTGGGTTAGACAAGAAGACGCAGTCGAGAGCAGAAAATTGCGTGGTTAGAACAGCACGGTCTAGTGCGTGTTTTGGCACGGTTTCGCAGCGTCTAGTTTTGGCACGTATCAACTGTAAGGTGGTAGAAATTCACTAACGATTTTTAATGGCAAATTTTTCAAGTGATAATGCTCATTCGTGGTGTCACAATGGACGGAGCTAGAATAGGAATCGATTACTATTTGCTGCGACCAGATATGAGTAAAGTGTTCCGTTTGAAGGTACTAAGCTTTGCTGAATAGAACATGTGTCGGTTTACATTTCTTCTGTGAACATTTCAGACATGGCTGGAAGCTGCTAAGCAACTATGCTTCAGCCTTGGCATTGGTTTTGGGTGTGCTTCTCCGCGCTGCCTGCCTTCAAACTGTAAAAAAGAACCAATAACTGTTTTCGTGGTACCGCCACTACTCAATATTCTTGTTAGCAATCTTGGTTTCGTAGTTCCTCAAATTTAGCATAATTCTTTGGATAAACCCATCGTTTTTGTGCCATAAAACTCTAGGCGAAACGGAGCACTAATTTTTGAATACTTCCGTTGGCAAATTTGGTTGGTTGAGTGCAACACTTACCGTCCAGGATAGCATAATATTCACACAGTGCTCAAAAAGTGTCTACAATCTGTTGAGCGGTGGTATCTTTGCTGTCGGTAGAAGGAGAGTTGCAAAGGCAGTGTCTGCGACGTGCTTGTGCCCTGCCTCCTCCGAAATCTTTCTTCTACTTCGACGTGCACTACCTCTTACACGCGTCCGGCGCCTTACTTTAGACTTCCTCACCGCCACTAATATTCCGTGCAACCTATTCGTCATACTATTGACGGTCTAGAATGCCTTGTAAATCCGCAAAAAGGTGTGTGTGCGCGCGGTCTAAAATCCGGCCATAAGGTGACATTTTCTGCGTTGTCATCGTTCTCGCGATGTTGTCTTTTGGGTGACAGCAACGTGAGAAATACTGCAGAAGGAAATGAAGGGCGTACTGGATGGGAAATGTTATTAGGCTCTATTCTTTTTGTTTAAGAGGACGGGGGGGCGGGTGGTGGTGCCGGTGAAGGTGAGATCCTGCTTGTGTGTGTGGCTGTTGTTGCTGTGGCGTGGCGGTGGCAACATTACTTCTGTCCGGCATCGTATTATAAAATTAAACTTAAGGATGCTGTTTATGTGACCCATCGTGCGACAATGTCTAATGAGTATCATTGGTCCGGTGTTGCGGTCCTTTCTCAACTCTTCGGCGTCGCTGCGAAGACATCTGGGAAAAGCCGATCTCGATGATCCATCTCAAAATACCGATGGTTTTTCGCTTCCACAATCGGACAATATTGGAGCAAATGTCATTTCCTGAAGAGCAGTCATAAAATTCAAACTGGTCTCGATATCCCTTTTTCCATGAATAGTTCAAATCAAAAAAAAGTCACACCAACCTACGTGCAAATGCCTTCCTTTCCCATACAGTTAGGCACAAGGAAAGGTCACGGCAAAATAAGTATAGGTGGTCGGTGAAGTGAGGATGAATGGGATGAACCAAGAAACCATTGCTGAAACAGCCCAAGAAATCTGAGAAAAATGGGGAACGTCTCTCCTTGCCCGCTATTCCCAACTGAGTGCCACTTCCACTCGTGCCCTCTTCAATGCTTAACTGCTCTTCGGCTGCTGATGCGTGTCCTTCGTCCAAAGGAAAGTGCCATGCTAGGTCGCGAGTGGTATATCCTTCTCCGATGCGGATTTCGTGTTGGTCCGCAAACTTAGGAGCTTGCCTTTCTAAGTAGTTGTCGCATTCTCCTACCTCCGTTCTTATCGTGGAAACCTTCATTGAAAAAAGAGGTGATGTAGAAAATTGTACATTCTCAGATAATGAATTTTTGTTTTTTATCTCTTATTCTTGCTGTTTCTCTCTGGAATAGATCCACAGATGCGGCTGCCGCTTAACGTTGTAGCGCGCACTTCGAGTGCAGAGAGCAGTCAATAAATAAATAAGTGTACTGATAAGGAGCATCACCTACATGCGTCGGTCTGGGAGTCGCCCCCAACCAATTTTGTCCAAAAAACTATAATCCCTCCAAAATTGGGAATTTTTCATTAAGCAAGTGTAGGACGACGAAAGTCTGAACTCATACTCATATTATATCGAGGATTATATTCTGATTTCGCATATCCTAAAAGAAAGCACGAGGGCGATTTCAGAATGAGGTATCCTACATTTCCGCATGAGTATACAGATAACCGTTCCATTTCTGTAATACGACAGGTTTGCAGTTGAAAAATGTTCTATCTTTGAGCATAATGGTTATTGCGGTTCTATGAAATTCCGTACACCTTGGCGAAGTTTTCCAGTGGCCACGTAATCCGGCTCCCGACCAACGTCACGCTTCCTTCATAGCCACATATGTGCAGGCCCTCGCTAGTGTACTGGGCTTGCAGCAAATGGAATTGACTGCATATAGGTGCACCGATATTCGAAGCCAACCTATGTCTCAAGTTGTTCCAAAGCAGTCCTGAGCCCGAGAAAATGAAAAGCGGCAGAAAAGGGCAAAATTCTAAAGAAGTGGAGGGACTTTGCAACATTTAAGTAGAGTTGAGTTTCTGGATTGAAACGCGTGTGGCGAACGTTTGCTATAACGTACTGAGACAAACCTGAGGACGTCAAAAATATCATTAGATTCCTAAATCACCAGCTTTACGTCGGATTCCTGCTGATTATCAAAGAAGTTAGTGGAAGTTCAGTACAAGTTAGTAGTAAGTTTCAGTACAACTTTATTAGTTTAGGTACATGCTAATAGAGAAATTCCTATTAAGCACTTCCATCACCTTTGTCACTATCCCTCAGTGCCCGATCAGTGGCAATGCCTGCTCCTGGAGTATTTGCATTTCTGCTGTTCTTCATGTTTTTCTTGTTAGGAATCAGCAGTCAATTCGGTAATTTCATTGGTTTCCATCGATATAAAGAAGAAATGAGCAAACTAATTAAGAGGACTTTCAGGGCTAATTCAAAACTTCATCACCACACTTACCGATCAGTTTCCTGTTCTGCGAAAATGGAAGTGGGCGGTCGTAGTTGCATTCTGCATGTTCTCCCTGGCTGTTGGACTGATAATGTGCTGGCAGGTACCAGCTAATATCTCCAGTACTCAAAAACAGCAATCGCGTTAAACTAACGTAGATGAAAGCAGAGGTTCCGTATCGTGCGTTGTGTGAAATATCCAGGACATACTACCAAAACTCAGAAAAATCCATTTTTGTACTTATATTATTCAGCCACACAGCAGATAGAGGTTCGAATGAAAATACCCCGACAGAAGAGGCGATGCGACAACATGAGAAGGAAGGGCTGCATGATATGAAGCGTCGCTTTACCGTGCAAGTTGATTGATAACGGTAACACGAGACTCTTCTGTTGTTGATTGGAGAAACTCTTCCAAAAAGTTTTATCTGACGACGTTTCGGGCCGGAAACCATCTTCAGGTCAATAACTTGCACAACACGCTTGAGCGTGCACTCAAAATCAAGATCCGCGTGATATATAAGAATGTGAGTGATCCGGTGGAAGGAAAATGAAGAGGCGCCCTTTGAATAAAAGAGGAGGAATCCTCCAATAAACAATAGAGATGAACTCACCGCTGGAATGGAAATCATCGCTGTGCAATGACTTTTGAGATGGAGCTACGTGACGGATGGTAAAATGAAGAGTGTCGACTGCTTACATCTTCACCAGGATTACCTCTATCTCGCTGCTCTATTTTTCTCGTGTGAGTAGCAGGAGAGGTTGGTCCCCTTCACGTTTCCTTCCCACATATCTCCTATCCAATCATTCTTGCAGCGATTCACGAATTACGAATTACAAGAATCAATCCGCTTCCCTCAACCCGGATTTCCCCCTTTTTGTAATTGGTTAGTTGACTTCGTATATCATGTTGTAAATGATTCACTCTTTTATGTAAGAACGTAATGTATGGATGATGTTATAGACCTGAAGAAGGGCTTACGGCCCGAAACGTCGTCAAATAAAGCCTTTTGGAAGAGTTTCATTTCAATCAACAACAAAGAAGTCTCGTGAAACAATGAAGCTCAGGAACCCTATGATCTTAATTGACAACGGTAACAGTTCCATATCAGGGCGCTTCGATTATAACAGCCTCCACGTCTCAGACTGCACAGAATGGAACACTCGATAAATTTAGAAACATCATTTCACCGTCTTTAGCAGTGGCAGTAAAAAGTCAATAGCTCGTCTTCTCTTGCAAGAGCGAGCAATAACTTGTGTCCTTAAGCATCATCTACCCTCTACCTAAGCATCCATACATGGGTGGCCAAAAAAGGAGACACTTTGCCCATGGCGCACATCATCAAACTTTTCATCGCACAGGGTGCCGCTGTTGATGAAAGTTTTACGGCAAAATATCCCTTAGATGTCCTCCATAAGCAGAAGCAGGCCCTTCCACCCTCACCGTCCTCAAAATATGACGTCATCTTCCATCACCGTTGAGCTCAAGAAGGCCTACCGTAATCGTTCCAGCCTGAAGCTGCTACGAATTTCTTTAATCGGTTAACTGACGATTGCTTCCTAGGGACAGTAGCTCTAAATATGCAGACCCCTTCCGACCAGCGTTTCAGATAACGTCGTAAAGGTCCATGATCCGCCGAGGACCAGTTGAGCTCGAACCGTGCACAAGGTTCCCATGGCAAATTCTTGTGATCCTTGGTGCAGAAAGCTATTATAAGTTTATTGATAGATTGGGATGTGCTCTTTAATACTAAGTTGGGAGCAGTCGGTTTGAGTTTAGCAAAGTGTGATTAATGCTGTTTGAAATGTGGAGCGAAGTGCCCTTTTTTTGGCCACCATAAAATAGTAAAGTGGACAATAGATGCGGTATTAGTTTGAAGTTTGGAAACGTTTTTATTTCTGATCTAGTGCAACCAATAATCAACGAAATTGTCTCGTATACTATAAAAAAAATCAAGCGTGTAGTGAGATGCGCAACATGGGTTCTCAAAATGGAGATACAAAATCAAAATTATCCTCTTCCTCAGAAGTATCGCCTCAAATGTTTGGAAGTCGTTTGCTTCCCTTACGTTCAAATTTCCACTCTCCAGTGTTTGCATTTTCTGCTAGGTTACTTGTTGAGTGGTATGTAAATTTCAGATGGGTTCACGTAAAAGAAAGGTTTATTGCCACCGTATTAGTTTAACTGAACCTTGCAGTGTGGATTACCGAAAGAAATTGTTTCTCAGTAATTCAATCTCTACGGGAGCGCTATCATGAAGAGCGGGTTCTAAGCTTTTCAGATTAGCATAAAGAGCATAAAGAGAGAGCCTCACAACAAAACTGACCTATCATAGAACTTCCAAGAGTAGAGTAGCGCCGTACTCGGTCCAGGCCGAACCCCAACCAAGGCAATTTTTTGGGTTTTCTTTTCAGCCGAATGAGTCTCAGTGGTGGTCAATATTAGTATGGCAGACATTGGAAAAAGCGACATTCGGAAAAATCTCTCAACAAGAAGCCCTTGTTGGGGTACAGCAGAAGGGAGGCCTGACTGACATCCGCAATTTAGCAGCTACCTGGACCAAAGGCAAGAGGAAAATTGTGCCACTGGTCGGCACCGAAACGCTCAACCCACATTTCCAGCAATTTCTTATTCGCATCAATATCATAGCTGCAATCTATGTATTTAGTCTGGTTTTTACTGGTTTCAACTATTTTTCAATTCCGTTGGTGGAACGGCCGTGCTTTCTCCTCTGTTTCATGGAGGTGGCCTTCATTGTATTCGCCTACGGTAAGTGATCTCTATAGTATGCTCGCTTTCTCAATAAATGTCTCATCTAATGTATTTCCAGGGATATCGAACTTACGTCATGACATACAACATATCATCGGACCTCCTACGAGCAATATTGCTAAAATCTTTGGCTCTTCCGGGTATTTCATATCAATCTGTTGGACTTCTATGACCCCAATCATCCTTTTGGTAGAGTAGTTTCTGTGTCAATTCCAACATTTATTATTTAAAATCAATCTTTCCTTTTCAGGCGATAGTTATATTTGGAATTGTAGCAGATCTCAGGCGCGTTAGTGACCAATACAGCAGTTCACTTCTTACATACATGCCACTACTTTTGATCCCTGCCTTCGCGATTGCTAACCTCTGGTATTTCATGAAAAAACACAATGTGAGTTTGGCGTGAGTTATGCACCAGAAGTTGTCATTTTTCGTTCAGAGTTGGAAGCAAGCATTTTGCATTCAACCGCAACTGCCATCCTTCAACAGAAAACAAACAAAAGGACAGGTCAATTTTCTCCACCGCAATCATATCATTGATGATCTTTTGAAAGAACGCATGTGTTCTGCAGGTGATCCACGACGAAGCGAACGGGCAGAGTCAGTAGATGCAATCCTAATTTTCTGGTCTACCGTAGCAGTTTAGCGTCGAACCAAACAGGTCATGATAGATTACGTTGTATATTAGTAACTTTAAGGAATGAAATTAAATATTCATGCTGATATCAAGAGCGAAAGTTTCCGCAATTGGGAACACATCTTCCACGACAAAGGTATAAAAGATAGAATAAAATAACGACGAAATCAAGAACTCCTCATGCTGCGATCTCCTATACAATAACTGAACGTGGAGGGATCAATTTCAACTAGATACGGTACCTTCCACTGTAAACGCTAAGCGCATGATACTGTAAGCCATGTTTGCTGAAATCCCAGAAGTCCTGCACAACCTCTCTCAGTCGTGAGAACGATTATATGATAATCTCTACTCTTATTGAATGCTACTGTGTTTCGCAACTAACCAACCTTTCTGACAGAGCTGCTTCTCCTACTTGTATGCCTATATGAAGAAGTGACGACATACCTGTAGTGTTTGCGACCATAATAATTGTGATGTACGCAAATTGAAAGCTGCTTTCTTTGTTTGTAATACCGAAGATGCCAGAGGCAATTCACGATCCCTGTTCCCGAAGAAGTAAAAGAAGATCAAAATGTGGTTACTCGATAGTCCCTTAGCTTTAGCTTTCCATCTTACGTTCAATTGCAGACGTAAGCTTCAATTTGAATCATTCGATCGAAATACTTAGCTCTTATTGCAATACCACGCTATACCGTTTTCGCAGCAATCCTTGGTTTATTTCTCTTCTGCAATATTTCGCTATAATTTTAGGGCCGCCATCGTATTTATAAAGAACGAAGTCCAGCAACGCCGATAATCAAAAACTAAAGATGGTCCATTACATCCGACACACACGAAGAAGATGGCTTGCTTTTCGATCCATGACTCATTTTCCTAGTTTTTGATTGCAAGGAAATTTATTCTTTTTGCTTTTAATTACAAGTACACTCATGGAATTGCTAGTCCTAGAAACTATGTGCGCTGTGTTGCCGAAAGTTACATTAGGTAATCCCCCCCCCCCTCTACCAAGTTGTGCATGATAAATAAAAATGTTGGCATATTGCAAAACTTAAGAGCGATCTATATGAGACTTGTGGGGTGAGATGGTGCAGAAAGTTCTGCTGAAACACCCCCTGTAAAAGTAATTGAGGCTTCTGATCACGATTATGATATCTATTTATTCAAAGTGGGTGCTGCACGGGCTGCCAGTGCCAGACAATAAACTGCATTATGAGTGGGCACCCTTATTCATACGAACTCATAGTCATACATGGGTGGAGATCCGGTATATTATCACCCACACCCAAAGCATAGGCATATGTTGAGCTGGGGGGCGGGTATACTGCCTGACTCCATGCCGAGGAGAGAATGGATCACGGGAAATCCGAAGAAGAACCGTCGATTGCTTGCTTTCCCTTGCCATGCTTGGCTCATAACTTCTACAAACTCTTCCCACAGCCCCCCCCGTGCGGGTCGCACTGCATCGGATATGGCATTACACTTTCTCTTACAAGAACTAGTGTATATGCGGGTAATTTGATGCAGAGGGTGGAAGTGGTGTAGTGGCAAGTGGCACGCTTACCACGCGAGCGGTCCGGGGATCAAATCCTGGGTCGTGAGTCGCCCGGGCCAACCAAGCCTTCCATCCCTCCGGGGTCGGTTAATTGGTACCAGACTTGTCTGGGAGGATAAAAACACTGACTTGTACATCGGCTGGCCCCCGCAAGTCATTGTATAGGCCACATCGCATTCAAACGCCACTACGAATGTACAAATGGAAGTAGAATGCGTGCCGCATCCCAAAAAGGGATTGATCAACGGCAAATGCTTTATCCTTATACTTATTATGGGGCGAAGCACTCGATGCATTTAAAACCATGACAGGTAGCTTCTTACTCCTATTACACACGTTTTTTGTGCAAGCCGCCCATGCAGCCACCGAACGGCTTCACCAAATTAATTGCACACGTGAAAAGTTTTTTTAGCATCCTGATCACTCGCACTACTTTCATTCTTGTTTTCTTGTTTCTAACTAACTCTCAAACTCCGCACTGCTTTTTCCGGAAGCTCTTCCATGTAGTCTTCACAGCGAGTGTTGCTTGTGCGTAGCGTCGCTTCTCTATCTTTTTTACTTCTACCAGCGCGAAGCATGCTGAGTATGTGCTCCAGTCCTTGAATTGACGAAGTGTAATCGGTGGTTGTCTTGGAGTACCTACATCCGGAAGACAGCGCTGCAGTTTGAAAGTACGCTCCCCAGGTGATGCTGGTAGTTCCAGGTCTGATGTGATTTGAAAAGAATGGCAGTGCACCTCCTTCAAGTCATCTTAAGAAATGCTCGGCTGCTTCCAATTTGCCTTCAAAGAGCCATCGGTGCCTATGCTCCAGCGCAAGCGGTTCTACTTGCCCATCAAATCAGCACTTCGTCGAGTCTCATAACGCATCCTATTTTCCGATCATTGGCGAACTCTTCTGAAGTGTTCCACGTTACGGAAATATTGCTTCCACTTGCCAACGCCACGAAGCTTTATGTAGCGCCATTGTCTTTCACATTTTCTATGTTGCAGCCAGAAGTAAGATTGAACAGACACAGTCGACTCGCCAAACGTTATTTCTCCAGATGGAACCTTTTTGAACGGGAACGCTGACTTTGTCTCCTCCATTGGTCAAACCTTCGTTCAGACACCAAGCCGTTATAGTGCCCGTCGTTCTTCGACATTATGGATTTTCTGGAGAGCACAAATACATCAATCCTATGGAACGCTACCAGATTTTGAACTGAAATGCACCACATATTATCTGCCATAAACTGCGTGAATATTGAATTACAGAAATACTTCAAAACGTATAAACAGATGGACAAGTCGTGGCGCTACGTCACTTTGCGAGACATATTATGAGAAATATTATGACTGACGTTACTGTAGAGTGAGAAGAACTAGGGCGAGTAAAGTCGGACAGATCGACAGATCGCTTCACAGGACGAAAGGAGAAATGGCATGCGACAATTCGTAGGCACAATTCATCCAGACTTGGCGATGACGTACTTGTATACGACTGACTTACCACCTTTATGAAAACGGCGTTTTGGCTTTTGGCCTAAGGAACCAGCATGATTTTGCGATCGCGCCGCCTCAACCGTCTTACGTGAATTTTGAGTGACGAATCACATGACAAGAAGTAATAACACGAAACATGAGTGATAAAAGCTCTTTTTTGTAATGTTCAATGCGTTCAAGCTGTGCGAATAATAGTAGTTAATGAAAAGAATAGTGAAATTTCGATCAAAAGAACGTGTAAATATTGTAACGTATCGCTCAACTGTATAATAATAAAAATAACGACTGCATAATAGTAACCGTAATGCACTGAAAAATGAAATTCAGTTGACCCATACAGCAACGGATTTCAAAAGGAATTTTGTCCCCATGTTTCAGCAAAACACAAAGCTTGTCATCCGCTAGATTCTGCATCTGCTTACACTTCTTTTATTACTCAGATGTCCATAAGCAAAACGAATGTGAAGAACGAAGCGGGCTGTAAACTGAGTTTCAGAAAATCTTTGCTAAACTAGCTCAATTATAGCATATCTGATCATTTCTTAGGACACATTATCTGGAGCTATGTTAAGGTTTGTGCCATATACCGAACAACAAGTCTTCAAAATATATAGCGGATGAGCAAAAAAGACAAGGTGCAGGATACATGCATCTCGAGCGTCTGCACATGGCTTGCAAAGTGGGGGCCGTATGTGTCGTGCGCTGTCGTCAAAGTTTGATATGGAATGCGGATTGGCCAAGTCCGAAGAGGCACGGAATGACTTCACCGCGCTTTTGGCATTTTCTGCCACTCGCCGTAAAAACAACTGCCTTAGTGCAATTAGAGCGCGGTTTCCCCGACACATACAATGATACATGAGGTGTGGTCACAAATTGTGGTACCGCACACAATTTAGAATTACAAATGGATGGAGTTTTGAATGCAGCTTTCACGTACTGATGCTTTGAGATGATGTTTACACTTTGATTTTACTAAAATAATAAACCACAAATCGTTGAGCCCTTAGCTCTTTCAAGATAACCACTCGTTTGTTCGAGGTTTCTGGTGGTGTTACATTGCAAAATGACTCAAGACAGCAGGAAGCCTGCAACAACCACCTATATCAAGTTCAATGAACAGGGCTAGGAATGATTGGTGTTGATGTGGAAGAGAAGCTACTACTCCCACCAAGACCGATAATAGAAAGTACTGCGAAGCTGTGTGGCTCGACGGCACTTGCATCCATCGTTTGTCTTCCTGCTAGCATCAGACGCCTAGTTTGTGAGTTAATCGCTGAAAAGCAGCGTAAAGCTAGCTCGGTGGTGCAAATAGAGCGGGAAAGCAAGCTGCGCGGGATGGGGATGCTGTCCAAATTCTGTATTGCAAATTTTCTTCACTGATGAGAAGGTATTCATAGTCAAGTTGGTCTCAAAAAGTAGAACGACAAAAGCACATTTCTTATTAACCAAATAAAGTTCATCAAGCATCTTCGTATCCGCATCATCTCTGGAAGATGGTTTTTGCGTTCAGGATACCTAAAATCAGGGTATTCTACTCCAAGGCATAAAATAGAACAGCAAAAATTCCCTCAATCTTTATAAACTTAAGTGATTCCTTCAGCCGAAGGAAGCCTTAGAAAAATCACAACAGCATTGAACATTTTTGATGAACCTTGCACACAACAAAATTTGCGCAATGTTCTTGCCAGCTGAGCTGCCCAGAGATCACTGCGATCGGCGAGTAGTTCCACCTGAATCTTATTTGAATCTTATCTGAATCTACCAGTCTAAGCTATGCGGAGAGTGATGAAGACGAGCACATCTCCTGACATCATGGAAGCGTCGATGGATAGAAGTCCCTTCGGAACGCTTAGGACAAACTCGAGGCCGGACGCGCGCGATCAGTGCAGTTCAGAAGACCTCACTCCTTTGAGTTATATGTATATAATAATTACCGCTCCTTAAACATCAATAAATATATTTTTGTTTTCCGGCCGTTTTAGTCATTGTACAAGCCTTCCATGACCACTTCATCTTGTTATCTATAATTTGTGCCACCTGTACACCCTACCCGTACCATTGTAGCTACGCTTAAGTTACTAAATATGGGAATTGACTCTGCATGGTCGAGCATCGTCCAGAGAAAACTAACGGCAACGCCCTTCTGCCTATTATATCACAAACAGTTGCCTGACATCATGCACCATCTAAAACAAAGCATGACGACATGTTTCTTGAGGAAAGTCGTGAGTCAGGAGGATGGCTAGCCACCTAGCCTCAATAGACTTCTTTGTCTGACTTATATTGAAAATCTATCAACATCATCAACGAAAGGTTATTAATTGTCACCAGTGAGCATCCAGATGGCGACTTCAGCACCATGTTTCCCCTTTTTGCATCCTACCCTTCCATAACATCTTCCCCACTTTCAAGTTTCTGATGCCATACAGGTCAAATTTCGCGAAGCTTTCTTTCTCTGTAATGCGTGAATTTGGCTCAACCTTGTAGGCTTAAACTAACACGAAAGCCAACCCTCTTTTCCAAATTATCCTTTTTTCTTGATCGGATCGGAATGAGATGAATGATCGGATCGTTATCTTGGAGGATTTGTCCTTTAGACCTTGTGGCGATGGCGACAGCTCTCTCCCAATCCTCATCAGTGGTTCTGAGGTCACTTTAGACCTTCTGAGGGAGGCGAACACCCATCGTCGACGTTTCGGGACCATGCTACCCTCTCCTAGAGTGGCTTACTCTATCGTAATCATACACCGCTGGGACCTAATTTCCATCTTCAAAAAGGACACCTATTCAAGAATGATCGAACGTCGAAACTTCTCAAATCCCACGAAAATTTGCATTTTTGCCGAAAAACTCACCCTTCATAACGAAATGCGCCTCGATCACAACCGCGTGCAGAAAAAGAGCCCAGTTGAGTGCCTCCCCCCGCTCTTCCCCAATAGCGAGATCGCTACCATTTTTTAGTGCTCCGGCTTCCTCAGCACGAACCATGCTGAATAAAGAATAGATGGAATGTGAGAAGACTTGCTTAGAAGGACTACTCTTGTCTTGAACCATTTCTTTTGCCAGGAAGATAACACTGTAACGTAGTAAAGACATTCGTACGTAAGATTCTGTCTTGAGGATGGCTACTGAATCTCGAGGAGCTTGGGGAAGTCAAACTCAGTTCATTCTTACGTGTATTGGATTCTCCGTTGGATTGGGCAATCTGTGGCGATTTCCAGCTACGGCATACGAAAATGGAGGAGGTATTATATTTACATTCGTTCATCTAATTGTTGTTGGAGGGATGGCATGTTTCTAGCACTATATTTTACTGCCGCTGTTTTCAAAAGTTGAGCTGTATTTTTTTACACAAAATGCGCAGTGCGCATTACTGGTTGGAAATTCGGATCTGGATAAAGCTGGACTTGTAGAACGCGAATACCATGCCCGTTTGGTGCGAAAGCTCTCGCGCTATTCCACGGGCGTCGGCGCCAAAAGTCAATGAAAACCTTACCATTAGATGATCAGATTTGCTGAGAAAACTCGCCACCGGGGTAGTTCTAAGCAAATTCGCTATTCACAAAAATAGAAACCGTTTTGTCCATACACGGCCCCTATATCATGCAGAAAACCGAGCGCAATTGAAGTTATGGGGTCCCAAGACTGAACCTCGGAGGCAGGAGAACTGTCAGTGAGAATAAGAAATCGCTCGCCTTGGCCACTTGGAGAATCTTCTCTGCCTAAGGACTAGCCGTTTTTCCAAGCAAAGAAGATGGTCCGTCCACTATTCTGAATGTTGCCATGGCAATGCCCCCGTACCTTGCGATGGTGCACGAAACTACTTTGAAAAAGAGCAGCGCTTCGAAAGGCATTTCCTAATACTAGTGCAACCCTTGCTATGGAGCTTACGATAAACTCTGAATTTTTGTTTATAGTATTTTTTTTCCTTATTAAAGGTTTGACTGTGAAGAAAACATAAATTTTCAGCAGCAGCGTTCGTTGTGCCGTATGTGATTTGTTCTGCAATTGTCGGTCTTCCTTGTCTCTATCTGGAATTTCTCATCGGACAGCTCACTCAATGCGGACCTTCCAAAGCGTTTCGCTATATAATGCCGGCCGACTACTGCCGGCCATGGCAAGGTTGATTTATGGTTATTTCTTAGGAAACTCTTTAATCACTTATCGGAAGTTACGCTTTTCGGACCACATCCTGCCCTCATTCCACATCCGTGCTGGTATGTTTCCAACATACGATCCTGTACTACTCCTAGTTATGCTGGCTTGTTGTTTTGTCCAAGAATATAATCCTCTGCTTGTCATAACCGTGCAGTCGGGCCGCGTGTCAACCATGTGTCAGCGTTCCCTGTGCGTCCCATCTAGATACATTTCCATGTCATCTACGGCACTTGGGTGTCAATATTTGAGCTTCTCTCCCACGCTTGCAGATCCTCAACAATAAAACTTTGCGCAGCTCATCTCATAAAGCAACGATTCTCAACCCTATTTCCAGAATTGTCAGCCATTTAGAGCGCCGCATTCTGGCAGTTCCAGGGGATAGAATCCTCCTTTACTGTGGAAGCGAAGTTATACGATATGTACGAAATCACAGATGAAGGGTACCGTTCTTAGCTTAGGACGCATTGCAAGGAATTTGTGGTTCATGGGGTACCCCACAGGAAGCCCGTTGCAAAGTGGAGACGCAGGGAGGGTCGGCGGACGAATCACAGCGCGTGCTATGCGACGGGTTCATTCTATTCGGTTTGGCGCAAAATCACTACAGCGCGCGTCGCGACTCGTCCGCTGACCCGTCTGCGCCTCCGTCTTCTCGCCGCGCGACGGGTCTCCTGTCGGATACCCACGAAAGGGTCCTAGATCCAATCAAGGTATAGCCAGCACTCTATCAAGAGATATAACCAAAAATTTCGAGATGTTCTTCCGCATGAAAACATGGAACACTAAAGCTAAACAAGGTGCTGGGCTTTGCTGATAAGCACTTCGGCATGATTTTCACCCATGCACCGCAACTTTGCCCACCCAACATTGCAAAAGCGTTGGTCTGCGTCTAGCTCGTCCCCTATATTCCCTCGTCTTGGTGTCTGTTCTCTCGCACCCAGTGTCTCTTATACTGCCTCACTGTCTTGTAGAAGCTCGTAGACTCGTCCTTGGCCTAAAAAGGGCCTTCTTCTTCAGTGCTCCACTCCCTCCCTGGCCTTTTTTCAGTGGGTTAAATCGCAGCTAGTGCACCATATTTGAAGCTCGTAATCCGCTTCTGCTGTCGTGGGGTTTGCAGTTACTACATCACAGTGCTCTTTTTCTCTGCAAAATTTGACTCATCACGTTTTTTTTAAACATTCTCGCCTTTAAGGTGTTGGATGGGCAATGTCGTTGACGAGTTTGATAACTGGAATCTACTACAATGTTGTAGTAGCATGGTGCCTCTCATATATTTTTGATGTCATTACTTTCCAGTCGGCTAAATGGACATCGTGCAATAACATCTGGAATACTAAAAGTAAGTTATGGCCTTGCAAAGGTACAGGTCGCGATGGAGCGGGGGTGTTGTTACGCCCGGAATCACTAGAGAAGGTGAGAAGAACCGTGAATGAGTAAAAAAGCTCAAAGGCAAACCCCGGGATTAGCCCGACTAGTAGGAAGGATACCGCTAGGGAAATTGTAGCCTACCTAGATCACTCCAGCTTCGTCGCAAAAATTGCGCGGTTAGGGCGCTAATCCTTACGGGCCTGCAACCATCGACCCCTGTTCCAACGCTTCCCACCCACCGCGAGAGGTGGTGAGATCAGCGTGCTCTCTCAAACGACGTGCTCCTCTTCTTTGATCTCGCCATCGTACCACATCCGCCTTATTGAAGGTTAAAGCCTTGATCCCAGGCCGGTTCCCAAAGTTTCTCTGGTTTCCATTCATTTCAGGTCAACGTCCGCAGCTAAGCTATCACAAGGCGCTCGTAGCACCAGTTTTATCCCGGGGCTTGCCTTTATGGGAACTATAAAAACCCTAAAATGAAAGCCTCCTTTTTATGAGCTCGGCTATAGCATGATGGCGAAGAGATGGAGCAGCAGAACAACCCTACGAGAGGACGCAATGTACCCCATGCTGCGAACGAGTAAAAATGGAAGGAAGTATGGGGAATCTGGACCCACTTTCATTTCGCCATAGTGTTACCACGCCTGCGCTCAGGTGCCAGTCTACACTCCCCTTCAAAAAGCCAGAAATTGTGCGGTGCAAACCACACACCACAAGTGACCACAATGTGATGGTACCCGTGCCTTTAAGTCTGCTTGACTTCACTGAAAAGGGCTCATAGAGGTTTCTTCTATGCGGGAAACTCGGGCACAGAAGCACGTCATCGTAAGCGACGTGCCACATGCCACGCTCATCTACTTCACTGAATGAGAACTTTTGAAAACCGAGCGCACGTGTTGACCCTCATTTTGGAATGGGACGGTGGGTCTCTGAACAGCGCAACCTCAAAGTAATAGGAGAAATGTTAAGATCAGTCAACGGCAAGATGTGCCAGTGCTAAAATATTATGGTTAAATTCCTGCTAATCTTTTTATCAAAATAACTCTATTTTTTTTTTTAAATTTTCCCGTTTGTTCTGTTTCTCAAATTCAATTTTTGACTTGTTTGATATTCAATGTGTCAAGCGTAGCACCACAAAAATCCCTAATGTGAATATGCACGTGAACGAGAATGACCCACATTTTTCAGACTGCTTCAATGGTTCTGGCTCTGCTCTTATGATTGGGAATCATGCAGCACTTGCAGCTCAAGAATTTTTCGAGTAAGGTGCCACAGCATTTTCAAAAAATTCACCTCCAAACTGCTATATAAGACTCAGAAATTTTTATTCCATTTCCTCGTTCCATGGATAAAAGATGAACCAGGGCGGGACAGTGGCAACAGATGTCGTTACTCTACAGGAGTCCTCCACACGTTCTTCGCGTCTTTGCTGTTAAGACGTATTTTAAAAAACAAAATCGCTATGCTGAACACAATTTGAGCCGCTTTTTTGAACAATATAGGTGAATTAGAACAAATAAATCCGTAGTTTTCAACCCAAAGGCAACTTATATTAGTTCGTTGAACCCCGAAATGCTTAGTTCTGCAACAATGAAGAAGAAGCAGAAGAGACAGCCTAATCGCAAAACATTAAGTACATAAAACACAAGCAAATTATTTAAAAGAATCGTAGTACAACCTTTCGTGTGAAAAGATCCTTTTATAAACTCTCACAGATGAGTTTGACTAGCGCTCCGATCAGAGAAAACGGCAAAACCGCCTTCGATGAGGCTGATAGACGTCACAAACAACGACATAATGCCCTTTAAAGCAACAGTTCAGGGAGGGTCCGAAAATTTCAATGCCACTACTACTGAGGGATACACGAGCCCTAGTGAAGAACATATGCAGTGGAAATAATAAACGAACTTACCTCAGAAACTCAAAAACAGGGTGGAAAGTCCCTCAAACATGGGTGTTCTTGGGGATTTCCCCAATCCCGCCCCCTTGCCGGCCGTCATTGGACGCGTCGGCAATCGTGCTCGTTTTGGGACCACAGGGAAAATTGATTGAAAAATGGAGCGCGTTTACAGCGGGCACGTTCAGACAACTCGTCCAACGTGCGTCTTTATCCATTGCTGAGCGGCAGAGGGAGAGTACCTGTCTAAGACCCTCCCCGACGTTTTTTTCCAGTTTTTCATACATTAATCGTCTGGTTTTCATCTACAACTTCATTATTGGTGGTTTTTTCCCGCGAAACCGTTCCTGAACTGTTGCTTTAAAAAATCGTACATAAGCACTGAATAAGGTTGTGGTTAAGAGTGATATCTGATAAAGGATTTCACGATAAGACTAAGACAAAGATGAGGAAACTCACCCTGTGGAGAGACAGGTAGATCTCCTAAGGTGTGGGACTGATCTACAATTTGCATCGAATTGTATGCTCCGGCGATCTAGAATGGCTCCACAGCGCTACTCGAGCGCTGTCAGCGCGTTACGCCCTCCTTCCATTCTCCCCTCGCGCTGAGTAAGCCTCTAGCCGTTTGGTTTGGCAGAAAGGAACTAAGGTTGAAGTTCGATGAGAGTTGCATCAATGAGGAAATCAGCGAACAGGAAGGGGTCTCGCTTCTCGGGTTACAGGCCGCTTTGCTTGATTTTTCTTCTTTCGTGCAACCCCTGACCGTCCTCTAACTTAATTTTCAGTAGGCTGGTGGGCCTTTCAACCTGTAAGTCCCGACCGCTCGATAAGTAACATAATCGGCCGATCGCCTAGAAATGTCCAACGAGGTGCACATAGTGAGCTCAATGCCGCCGTCCACTAACCTAAAATGTTTAAAGGAATCTTGCGCGGAAAATTCTTGCACTCTTTCCTAACATGAATATGTCAGTTGTGATCACTGGAAATAGCACACAAAGTTTCACGCATGAAGATTCGGTTTCTGAAGAGAAACAAACGTACAAAAACTACACGTTATGGACCATCGAAGGACCAGGAGGCAGAGCCAGGCGAGGCATGGAAAGAAGACGGCGTTTGGCCGGCTACGTACCAGGCGACGCAATGAGAGAATCGGGTTAAAGCGCGCGATTTCGGAGAGTGGAGACAAATCGATCGATGGAATAGGATGGAGTAGAAGTGTAAGATGTGAATGCAACGAAGCAGAAGGCCAGAAAGAGCTTCTAGTGAATGCACTCCAAGAACCAAGTTTGAGCATCCCCGTCGCCAGCATTCGTGAAAGACGTCCGTGGGCAATTCGAACGCGTAGCAGCCTTTTCGAGTTTTCGAATTTCTAATCAAAACGAAAGCAATACTTCAGTTCTTTTCACTATTATCGTGGATAATGAGTCTCAAGCCAGTGATTTATGGCTGAAATAGAATCATGATTTTTCCGCGCAAGATTCCTTTAAATGTTGCTTATAGAAATTTCGTATAAT